GTTCAAATAAGAACTTAATGATAAGAGTGCATCTAGAGCCTGTCTGAATTAATGACTTACAAGTTAGCCCTGACTTTATTCCAGAGGGAAACTTTGTGGAAATATTCATTTCATTTGCCAATTAGTATTAGTTTAATGATTGTTTCTGGGTAATGAATGTTACTTATGGGAAAAGAGAACATTATAAAAAATGAAAGTAATTTTCATTTTATTTTTACTTCTAACATTGAAGAACATTTGACATGAAGTTGAATTGATTCTGTTTTTTATTTTTATATACCTAATAACCTTCTGGTTAACTGCTGTGGTTTTCTGTTTTTAATGTATTACAGGGTTTCCTTGTGAAGACTGTAAGCTACGAACTCATGTTTTTAAGCTATGAATCAGCTTCTAAGGGAAAATAAGTCTGTACAGTCAATTTGTTAGCTTCTGGACTATTACAGATACTTATCACAGACATTGGTTGTAGCTTTTTTAAGATTATCAATTATTTTGTGCCCACCATATGTATGACTATATAAATGCACAAGTTCATGTTTATCACAAACTGTTTATGACGTCTTTACACTAAATCCGTTTGATGTGTAAGGATTGATATTTTAATTTTGAATACAATGGTTTATTTATTAGTTGAAAATAGCTTTGAACTAGCTTTTAGTATGTGAGTACGCTTACACTGGTACCTTTTTTTTGTCTTTTTGTTGGAAAATGACGCTATCAGCGGCATGTTTCCGATACCATTGACCAGAACTAACGGAAGTTGATTATGCCTCCGCCTACCGCACTCGGTTTCATATTTACTATTTTACATACTAACTGGAATCTGCTTGTATTACGCTACACTCGAACAAAGTCTTTGTTAAAGTGTTGTAGTCGGACGGGAACCAGTTTACATACGTTATTTTATTTACCAAAAAGATATCTTGACCTGTCCATATGTTTTTTGTTATTAAATGGTATTTGGAGCTATCCCTTTGTTATATTTTTCATATTTATTCGAGCTTTCACTTTTATGCACATGTCTTACAATCGTAAACAATCGGTATGTATACATGATAAATAGATCCGTTTTGTTATGGTGTTGGACTTTTTACCCTCCAATGATCAGCAATCGCTAGACAAAATAGTTCTCCTAAATAATGTCAGCCTTTCATGCCATTTCAACTTTACAATCATTAAAACAGTAATAATCAGAATCATTTTGATATCCATTGGATAGAAACTGGTCTTTTTTAAAGATTTACGAAGATTTTAATAATCGGAAATTAGTAATACGGTTATACCCACGCGGTGCGTATGAATCTTTGTTCACAAAGTTATAGCAGCAGAGTCTGTAACTGTATCATTATTAATTAACTACACTGTTATTGTACTTAAAATGATGAAAACTGCATATGCAATATAAGATGTCAACTCGGCCAATACAGATTTTTTTTCCGTATTGGCCGAGTTCTGATCCGGCCAAAACAGGATTTCGGAACGTCTCTAGTTTTTAGATCGTAAGTCACGATAAACTCAAACTGAAAGTAAACAGTTGTTTGTACGACGCAGTTTTTATTTACTCACCATAATTTAAACAAGCTGAAACGTTCAGTATGGCATATATTTTAGGTTAAAGACGGTCCCATTCATTTGAAAAGCATTTTGAAAGTAGACGATGGAATTATTTCAGGTTTAGGGAACGAGTAAATTATCACAAAGTTCATTTCTTGACGACCTCATAATTTCATCATGTCGATTTTTACTGTTCACTTTCGCTTCTCATGTTTTGTAAACGGTCTTTTATTTTTAAACCCGAACCAGGCATATGCATTCTGTAATTGCGCAAATCTTCGTTCTTTGGTCAATTGGCTTATGGATAGTTGTATCAATTTCAACTCTTACATTATTTTTTTTTTAAATATATTTGCATTACACATGCAATGGCAGTACCTTTCCAATTACTATTTATGTGTTGTGTCTAAATTAAAGTTGTAACACTTTATAGTGACTGGAAAGGGTAGAAAAATTCATCAGATGAGAAAAGGCTGAAGATGCATGGAAACGGCACCAAATCATTAGATATTGCATCTTATAAAACATGTAAAAAGAAACTGAGATTTGGATAGTTCCACTTCAAGGTAAAAATGTTTATCTCTTGTGAAATGAAATAAAAAAATATTGTAACACTGTAGTTAATAAATAAAGATACTATTACATGTATTTCTGTATTGGCCTTATTGTTGGTCCTCGGCCAGCAGTATTGGCCTTCGGCTTCGCCTCAGACCAATACACCAAGACATGGACCAATAACCAGGACAATACAGAAATACTAACGCAATAATATTATAGAATGACAGTATGGTTCAATAGCGGGAATCAGCCCCTCAACTACTTTTTACATAAATATTAACTTCTGGCTTCAACTCCTTGTTCGTCTTGTCTGGAGATCTTGTTATAGTTCCAGTTAGGCAAGCATTTTAGAGACGTATCCCGTCCATCCTCTCTTGACTTGTAATTTCTGGTGATAGATTTTGCCGCTTGACGTTGTATCTTTTCAAGCTTGTTTTTTTTTTTGTTACCGTGTAGGGGTCCCATACTATGGCTCCATATTAAATTGTAAGATCCATTCCTAAAGGTCTAGATCATTGTTCTAATCTGACACAAATTTCAATAACTGGAATGCTACCTGAGTTGAATATATGGTGACCTACTAGAACAGCATTATCACTATTGGAATTGTGTTTAATACCATTATTGTTCAATGTCATTAACTTAAATGGAGACAGACATTTGACCTGAAAGGTGGTGTGGGAGTGCAAAATCAAAAACTAACTGACTATGATATATGGTTAAAGAATGAATATCAATTACATGGGTCAACATGGTCAAGGGCAGAGTTGTTATGAAATAACAATATGGCAGAGAAGTGGTTTCAAGTTTCATATAAAGCGACCTGACTGACATGAAATAAAAAATCAAAGGAGTATCCCTATTTGTCTAATCTTCAAGGTGAAATAAAACTAGTAAAACAATATTATACTATTGTCTAAATCTACAGAAATATAATTTGCTTCAAGTAACAGAAATAACTAGGTCACTAGTAACTTATTTAATGAGTATGTGGGGTATAGGAGCTTGATAACAACAGGCTCTTCATAATCATTTGGTTTGAAAAGGATACTAGTAGTCTATATTCTTGATTTAGAAAAATGTAATTGCAAGACAAAAATCACATTACTTAGAATACTTTAGATCATTCAGGTAGTCTTTATTTATATGTACAAAAGAACAGCCAGTAGTCATTGGATATTGTAGATCATTCAAAAAGTCTTGACCTATTTATTAGTACAAAAGAACAGCCAGTAGTCATTGGATATTGTAGATCATTGTGGTAGTCTTGACCTATTTATTTATAGAAAAAAACAGCCAGTAGTCATTGGATACTGTAGATCATTCAGGTAGTCTTGACCTATACATTTGTACTAAAAAAACAGCCAGTTGTCATCTTCACATAACACACACACATATACGAATATCAACTATATGCTTATGAGACATGTTAGAATGTTAAACTAATTACGGTATGTGAAAATCAAGACTTGCATAAAAAATATCACAATATTAGAGACAGTGGTGTTATTTTTCCTCAGAGCTTTCAGCTCTTTGATTAAGTTTTTGTATGTGCTTTATGTTGATCCGATGAGTCAAATTTTGAACTGATTTTTACAGCTTGTTCTTTTGTTGTGCTATTACAAACTGACCCAGGTTAGGGGTCTTGAGGGTTTAGTGAACACAGACATGTTTAACCTTGTCACATTCTTTATGTGCTTGTCTGAAGTGAGGAGCCTAAAATTTGATGGCTGTCATTGATTGTCTGCCATATCTGTTTTTCTTTAGTGTTTTTTGCATAAAGCATTTGGTTTTCTCTTTTAAATTGTTTCACATTTTGTCTTGCCAGAGCCTTTTATAGCTTACTATACAGTATGGGTTTTGCTCATTGTTGAAGGCTGTACAGTAACCTATAGTTACTTACATCCACTTCCTAAGATCTCTGTTAGATAGTTGTTTCATTTGTAATCATATGACATCTCCTTTTTTTTATTTTTAGTATACTGAATCTGTGTATGTGGTATACCAAATGAGTGTAATGTTGTATACTGAATGGGTGTATCATTATATACTTGATTAGTGATGGCATGAAACACTTGTCACCCTCAGTGATGGTATTCCCAAATATATATTTGACATTATTTCTTTCTTGCCGTAATCTGTATAGTACTTGGTTAAGTTCCTGACACTTTTTTGCTTTCTTCAATCAAATGTATTCTAAAAAAAATTGGCTGAAGAGAGATAATGATTGTGTTGTAAGAACTTTTTATTTAATTGCAAGTAAATTAGTTATTAATTATGTCTAATACAACTTTAAGGGAGGTGTTGTTAGGAGAATTTCTTCTCTCTCTCTTTATTCTATAGAAAGTGATAGTCTGAAACAAAACAGAATTATACAGAACATAAAGTGATAACTACCAATACTTTGAAGAGAACAATCTATAAGACTTTTATGATTTGTTTGAAAACATTAATAGAATTTTGTTTTTTGGGACAAAAAATAAGATGTATTATGATTTAGTTAAGCAATGGATTGAAATCTGTTGTGTCTTAATCTGTGTGTAAAATGTCATATTTATAGTGGAATGAAAGAGGTATATTATATTCCGACAATGCAAGATGAAGAAACCAATATAATAAGTTCAGTTCTTTCTTGAAGACATTACATTTTATGCATGATGAATTGAAATCAAATCCATTGCTTTCAAGTATCATATAAATTAAACAAACCACTTTTTTTTTTAAATATTCCTTGTTATTCATTTCAGTACAAAAGGACATTGCCAATCTGTTTCCAATAGAAATCTGCACACTAAAATTAATATGCTAAATTTAAAAGTAAAAAAAATACCTTGATATATCTTTATTGTTTTTAAATCATTGACTTTGATATAACTTTATCTTTTCAGGGTTTTATTGATCCTATAAGATAGCATTAGAAACCACAATGGATGACAACCTTGACCTTGATTCTAGTGACCCTTTTATGTCAAAAGGACATAGTGACAATGGAGAAATAAATCAAAGTGACCTTTTAAATTACCAGATGGCAAATCAGCAAGTGCCTGGTTCCATGGATGATTACCATAGTGATGAGACAGACAATAGCCTTTTACATGGTCAAAACCAAAGTTCTTTCATTCCTCCTTATACTGGGAAGGAATTAGTTGATTCTAGTCTTTCAGATTCAAACAGAGATTGGGAACAAGAGGATGACATGATGTTTAACCAAGGAAGTAGTGATCCTCTAGTGAAGGGTTCAGTGAACCAATTTCAACCTGATCTTCTTAATATGAATCCACTTTCATTAGAATCAAAGAGTAGTCATGAAGAAACTAGTTTCAGAGATGATTTTTTTGCACCCAATAATCTTTCAGAAAAGCCAATAGCTCAAAGTGGCTACGAAGAACATGTTCCTTCTTCACAACCTCCTGATCTTTTAATGATGGAGTCCTCAGCTTCACATACTGAGGCGACTGAAGGTTATGAACAGACAGTTAAAACTTGTGATACAGATTTAAAGAGTTGTGGTGATACAGATTTGAAGAGTTGTGATGATAATGATTTGCACACTCAAAGTATTCCTCAAGATAGACATGAAGCAATTGAGAATGACTTTTATAATGAGGATGAACATGCAGATCATTATGATGACGAATATGTGGATTCAGATGAAAGTGATTACACAGATGAATCCATGGATAAAATGGAAGGTCAAACTGGTTTAGAACATATTGTTCCAGACATATGTGATACAGAAGAAAAGCAACAACCTGTTGAAATTGAAGACACTGAAAATGCTTTGAACAATAGTGTTGATCCAAATATAGGTGCATCCGGTATAACACAGAAAGATTCTGATTATTTAAAGAACGTTCAGTTTGAAGATAATGTAGTACATAGTCAATTATCTGATGAAGAAAATGGAAATATGGCTGTTCAAGCAAGCCAACCAGCTTTTACAAATTCAGAACATTTAGACCTTTTAAAACAAGAGGAAAAGGAATCTTTGGGTAGCGATTCTGAAGATGAATTTGAGTCAGCAACTCCTCAACAAATTACTTCCAAAGAATCAAATGAGGACAAAGTTGATTTGATTTCAGATCAGCAAGCAATAGAAGGAACTTCAGATATAGCACTAAATAACAAAGACATTCCCATAGAAAGTGACGATTCAGACATGGAAGAAAGGTCATTAACTCCTGATCCTAATCAGTCTTCGCGTATGGAGACAGGACCTCCTTTTCACGATTTCGTAGGAGGTCAATCGACTGATCAGGTTCAGATAAGTGGATTAGTAGAAGGTACACTAATGGAAGAATCAGAGAGCACAGATGATGAAGAGCTTGAACAACAATGTCAAGTTCCTTTGGAGCAGTTACCTGGATCTGCTGCTATGACAATGGAACAAACTCAACAGATTGATAACAATTTTGTTACTAAAAGTGAACATGTAGATCAGTTTGACCTTCATAAAGGTCACATATTAGAAGGACTTTCAGATAATGGAGAAAAACATTTTGAAGATAGTTTTGAACAAAGTCATTCTTTGCATGAACAGCAAGAAGTTAAAAAACAAAATTCATTTGATAATCAAGACCTTGAAATGGAAAGTAGAATGCAACATAAACAGCTTAATGAAGCTGAAAAGATCAATTACTTAGTTTCTGATGAACTTGAAATAAGTCATAAACATGAAGAAGGGTTGCTAACAGAATCCAACAAAACTCTTTCTGAAAGCAATGCTGGCGTAGAAATGGCCACCAATCCATCTGTTGAGCCATTGTTATCAGAGATTCCATCCTCTGAGGAAGTTCAACAACAAACTTTGTTATCAACTGAAACATTTGAAAGTGAAAATCAAAATATAGGACAAGATGTAAGAAATAATGATGTAAAAGGAACATTGGATGAGGATGTGGAACAGGTGGACACTAAACCAGATATACTAGAATATTCTGATGAATCAGAAGATGAAATAGATGATGGTAAAATTCAAAATGAACAATCTGGAATGGATGGCTCAATTGTGATGGAGGAAGGGGAAACTTTGGGTGATAAGAAAATGGAGGAATCAATATCATCAGAAGGGGAGGAAGAATCATTAAATAATGATTCAATGACATCCAATATGATGGAAAATAATAAAGATCTGCCAACTGAACAAGAAATTTCTTCATTTCAGCCTGCTAATTATTCAACAGACTTGCAGATGACAGATTCACAATTACCAGAACCAGGTGTAGAAGCTTCCATTATACCAGATGAAGGTCAACCAGGTGTAGAAGCTTCCATTATACCAGATGAAGGTCAAATTTCAGATAGAAATGAACCTGTACAGCTTTCACCTGATAACTCATCAGATGAGGTGGAGATTCCAGCCAATCAGATGCGAGAAACGGGTATGGAAGGATCATTTGTACTTGATGAAGATGAAACTTTCGAAGATAAACAATTTGATGGAGATGATGCAGAATTTGTACAGTCCACTCCTGAAACTTCTCCAGAAGATGAGATTCCAACCAATCAGATGAAGGAGCCAATAATGCTTGTTGAAGATATAAAATGTGGTGGCGAAAAAACTGATAATGAGCAGCCCATTTCTGATGTTTCCAAAAATAATGATATTCAAGCCAATCAAATGAGAGAATCTGGAATGGAAGGATCATTTGTTCTGGAGGAAGGAGAAACTTTTGATGATAACAAGTATGCAGGTGATGTAGATGAATTTGTACAGTCGACACCTGAAATTTCACCTGAAGAAGAACAGATTCCACAAAGTCAGATGAGAGAAACAGGACTGGAAGATTCTTTAATACTTGATGAAGGAGAGACATTTGAGGATAAAAAATATGAAGGGGATCAAGCTGGATTTGAACATGATGTAAATGAATTTGAACAGACATCTCCTGAAATTTCACCCAAAGAAGAGCAGATTCCACAAAGTCAGATGAGAGAAACAGGAATGGAAGGGTCTTTAGTACTTGATGAAGGAGAGACATTTGAGGATAAAAATTATAGTGGTGATGATGGTGAATTTGAACAGTCAACTCCTGAGGTTTCACCAGAAGATGAGGTTCCAGTGCATCAGATGAGAGAATCAGGAATGGAAGGTTCTTTAGTACTTGATGAAGGAGAGACATTTGAGGATAAAAAATATGAAGGGGATCAAGCTGGATTTGAACATGATGTAAATGAATTTGAACAGACATCTCCTGAAATTTCACCCAAAGAAGAGCAGATTCCACAAAGTCACATGAGAGAAACAGGAATGGAAGGTTCTTTAGTACTTGATGAAGGAGAGACATTTGAGGATAAAAATTATAGTGGTGATGATGGTGAATTTGAACAGTCAACTCCTGAGGTTTCACCAGAAGATGAGGTTCCAGTGCATCAGATGAGAGAATCAGGAATGGAAGGTTCTTTAGTACTTGATGAAGGAGAGACATTTGAGGATAAAAAATATGAAGGGGATCAAGCTGGATTTGAACATGATGTAAATGAATTTGAACAGACATCTCCCGAAATTTCACCCGAAGAAGAACAGATTCCACAAAGTCAAATGAGAGAAACAGGAATGGAAGGTTCTTTAGTACTTGACGAAGGAGAGACATTTGATGATAAAAATTATGATGGTGATGATGGTGAATTTGAACAGTCAACTCCTGAGGTTTCACCAGAAGATGAGGTTCCAATGCATCAGATGAGAGAATCAGGAATGGAAGGATCATTTGTTCTTGAAGAAGGAGAAACATTTGATGACAAACAGTTTGAGAGCAATATGCCTGAATTTGAACAGTCTACCCCTGAGGTTTCACCTGAAGAAGAAATTCTAACAAATCAAAAGAGAGAGACTGGAATGGAAGGATCATTTGTTTTTGATGAGGGAGAAACATTTGAGGATAATAAAGTTGGAAATGATGAGGATGAATTTGAGCAGTCAACCCCAGAAGATGATATTCAAACAAGTCAATTAAAAACTACTGGAATGGACGATTCTGCTATTCTAGATAAATGTGAACAATTTGATGATACAACAGATGAGCCCTCAATACAAGATTTGTCATCCAATCAGAGGGAAGACCTTGAAAGTTTTGTTGCTCCTGTTGGAGGACAAACAATGGATGATGGTTCTGAAGCTGTAAATTATTCTGAGGAGTCTATACAGTTTAAAGAATCTGTTGAAGAAGAAATGAAACCTTTAGTTTCTTTAGAAAAAGAAGAACCTGATTCAGACCTGCACATGGAGAATCAAGACAAACAAGAGGAAACAACATGTTCTTTAGAACCTGCTGATGGAAAAACAATTGAAGGTCACCTTGTTGAAGAGAGTATGGGTCAACAGATAGAGGAGGTGACAAGTGCAGAAACACCAACTGACAGTTATGGCATGGAAGGTGATGTGGATTCTGCCATACAATCACCCCTATCTCAAAATGATATGCTGCAGTCTCCATCTAGTGATGAAAATGCACAACTGTATGTAGAACATGAAAATGAGAAAAATCTGATGTCATCTTCTCTAACTGGAGAATTTGTTGACCAAGATGAAGCTATTCAAACATATCAGCCATGTATGCAAAATGGTGTATCCCATTCAGCTTCTGAGGAAGTAACTCCTGAAAAAGAAGAAAATGAACATCCCTGCTTTCAGAATGGCATATCTCAGTCAACATCTGATGAATTCACTCCAGAAAGGGAAGAAAAGACTGACTTCAATTTAACTGAAAAAGAAGGAAAGCAAGAAATAGTTACAAAAATTGAAACAAAATCTGAGGTGAAGGACAGTATTGCAAAATCTGAAGTGAAAAAGAAAACTGGAGTTATGAAAACTGAGGTTAAAAGAATAGAGCAGAGTTCTCCAAAAAAGACATTAAAATTGACCAAGCCAGACAGTCAGAAAAAAGATATCACCAAGGAAACCAAGAAGATAACAAAAGATACCACTAGGAAGAAAGATACATTAAGTAAACTTCCATCACCTACAAAAACTGAAAAACGAAGCATGTCAACCAGTAGATTGACAACCCCACCTACCAGAACAGATAAACCTGCAACAAGAATGCCAAGGGACACAACTCGTAAACCCAGACCTGCTTCAACAACTGAACCTGCAAAACAAACTAAACAAAGACCCAAATCTATTGACATATCAAGGACTAGTTCACTAACCAGGCCAACTAAGAGTAGCCTCTGTAAGTCCCGTACTTTCGAGAAGTCTGCATTAGAAGGTGCATCCAGTCCAACCAAACCGCTAAAAAGTGTTCCTAAGACAGCACCATCTAGATACAGAATAACAAGATCCAAAAAAGGTTTATTGACACTTTATTTAGCTTATGTTTTTTTTTTCCTTAATGAGCTTAGTGTAGATTCCAAGAGACTAAATTGACCATTTAATTAAGAGTCCCGCTATTTAGAGGTTGCTAGGACATTGATGTGTTTATGCTTCTGTTTATGTGTTAAAGATATAAAATGTCAATTAGTTCATGCTCATTTGGATACAAATAATACCTGCAGTAAATGAAATAGTATACAATCTATTTATAATATGACCCTGTGTATATTACATGTCTACACCAAGTTATGCTATTTGATATCCCACAGGTATTAGTTGCATCAAAATGGTCATATAAACAGTAGCTTGAACTAAGTAATGTCCTCAAACAACCTGTGAATAAAATAACACTCATATTGTCAATTTAATCGTCTGTCATTACATTTAATAGACACCAGGGTCTTTAAGAATCTACAGAGAGCTGGTTCAGGACAGTGGTTTGTTTGGCAGGCCTTGTTTTTAAGTTCACTAACACCCAGCTTAGCAAATACACCCAAGCTTTGCTTGATACCAAGTGAATGACAATAATATGATCTTTGGATGATTTTTATCAATTGTACATTTGAAGATCAAAACTCTTTTATTATATATTTCCTTTTAGATTCATTAAATCTCATTAAAAAGTGAATCAATTTATATTTTTACTTTGGCAGCTGTTGTAAACTTGTGAACCAGATGTGGTTGCATGAACAGGCAGATTCTAGCATTTTTTTGTGGGTTAAATAACATTTGAAATTTAAATAATAAGAAATTTACAGTAGACTTTTAAAAATTATTGAGTTTTGATGTCATTTTTCATGTACATATATGGTATTTATAGGTTTTATTGCATATTTTACTTTTGAATAAATATTATTTCATACAGTTTTGCATGGTTTTGTTGTTGACTGTTTTGAGTTTAGCATGTCTTTTTCTTTTTGTTTTTTCTTACTTTATTTGCATGCATTATACATCATTTCCGTCGACAGTACAACATAACAATTAATTAACTGATCATTGAATTAACTGTTTAATGTAAGTAGCTCAAAATCGAATTGCTTGATAAACATTTGTTACCTAAACTGATAATATTTGAATAGTATTTTGCAGAGAAAAAAAGAAACCTCTATTTTATTTTATTTGTAACAGATATAAATGATGTTATTACTGATGAATGCCAAGACCATTCTGTTTATCATAGAATTCATTAAAAGACAAAAATATTGGTAGACAGACAGACCACATAAACCTTCTGACTCATTGGAGAAAATAAATGTACAAACAACAATGACCAACACATGGTCCAAGTAGCCTGACTTGTTACAGGCACTTAAATGTTTTGTGGTTCTCACATTGCTTATCTATAACCTATGATGCAAGAGTTAATCATAATGTCTCCTCACTATAAAAAGACAGCTGATAATTATTATGCCACTTGATGTTTTATAGTGGTAATAGTTTGTTTTTTTTGGTTTGTAGCTTATCTCCTATAGCTCTATTAACATAAAAATGTAAAGAACTGCCATAAAGCACTGAACCTTTGATAGCTGACTGTTTTCATGTATAATTCAATGTCATTTAAAAAAGATTACCCCAGAAACAATGCTTAATATTAAACGAATAAGAATGCATGTCAGTTGGTTGGTCTTATAATTAAAACACCACTTTAAGTATATCTATTAAACAACAAGAAACATGTGCTTTATAGATTATAGATAGAAATTGAAACAATATGAAATTAACAGCTAAAATATCAATATCCTATGAAATAATTACATGTATTAGAATCTTTGATTAAAGTAAAATCACTTTAGTAGCAAAAAAAACCAAAATTTATATACACTATTAAAGGAATTGAAAATAACTGTCTATTTATTTGGTGCATTCTAGTTGCTTTTCTGGGTTGTCCTACATCAGGAATGATCAAAACAAAACATTTAAAAGATGTATAAATACTTGAAGAACTTGAGTGTAGCTTTATGACCAAGAGAAATGTAAACAGAATAGTCAAATCCACCTATGAGGGAGTTGGAACAATAGCTTCTAAATAATTTATAAACAGAAAATTTAGGAAAGTTATGTCACTGACAAAAAATTTATTTGCTACTTTCAAATTTCGTTTTAAAACTGGACATTTGGAAAACAATAAAAGGGAAGTAACTCTAATTAAATTGCCTTCAGGATATAAAAATAGTTGGAAAAACATGGAAACACTCATAACTTCTTCAGAAAAAAAAGGAAATTGCACATTTTTTTAAATTACATGAAGCAAGAAATTATAAAAACACATGTGCAAGGGATTGCATTATGCTTAAAATTAATGTAAATACTTTGAGCTAAAGATATTATGTAATTATTGAAATATCTATGACAAATCTAATTCTTTGGTTCTTTTCAGTTTGATTTTTAATTTACCTGCATCAGATATATAAATAGGTATAAGTTGAGTGATTTTATGCAGTGTGTGAGGAATTCTTATTTATGGGTGTATTGTAAATCAATGTTTGTTTTTGCACCACAGATATTTATTATATTTTTAATGCATTTCAGCTGTCCTAATTCAAGAATCATGGAAAAGGGAATTTATTTTCTCATGAAGACTGATATATTTATTACTTTTCATTTCAGTATTTCTGCATTTAGAAAATATAACAATGATAATATTTTCTGATTACATTTGAACATTAAAAACTACTACATTAAGGTTTCTGATTGTCTTGTTACTAAGTTTTTATGTTATTTTACAAAAAAAACTTTTTTAAAATAAATCTAGATTAACTCTGAATTTACCAATGTTAAATTCAAGTGGTCAAAAATTATATTGCAATTTTATACAGAGCTTTATAATGGTTAGAAAATGTCAGCTTTTGAAACTAATGAAAATTTTAAGTTATACACAGTCACCTGAAAAGGTGATTCACTGTAGTTATACTGTGGCTTCATTATTATTTCTGGGATACCATTTTTTTTTTATTTTGTGGTTCAGGGCATGTATAAACAATTTTTCCTCAATCCATGAAAATTTATATCCTCGAAAACAAATGAATCTGCAGTATTTTTGATATCTAACAAATTTGTAAAGATATAATTATAAAATATATCAATTTGAAATAGATCATTTGCAAGAAAGGGTTAACATTTGCATAATTAATGCTGTAGGTAAGAAATAAGCATTCATAGCACTGCATGTATTGTGTGTTTTATTTCATTTTATTTTGATTTTGCACGTTTTACGTATTTGGTTTTATGAATGACTATGTGAAGAATAATCTTGTTTTAAAAGAGAGCCTCTGAAGATAATGAGAGGGGAGATAATCATTACAAATGCACTTGATATTTATTATCACTGAAATGTATGCTGTGTACTACAGTATGATATACTGGTTGCCAAACATTATATTCTGTAGTATTTGAGTTTGATCAAATGAACATGTGTAATTTATTCATTATATGATATATGTATAAAGGTAGTTACCAGAATGTTAATTAGTAAGATAACTTTTTTACATGTCCAGTGACAAATATTTCATGCAAATTAAATATAAATTTATATTTGAATGATGAAACTAGTGTACAGATTATATATAATATGTTTGCCATAATTATTTTTAAACATTCAAGATTTTCCATTAAGTAATATTAAAAGTAACTGAAATTTCATATTTTTCTATCAAATGAGTGCATAAAATTATTTCATACAATATTGAAAATGTTGGTCTATGTCCTGAATATATCAACCATAAATCCTTTGATCACTGTTATAAGCAAGTATGGTTTTGATGATTTTTTCAGATGCTTCTTCAGACAGTGGTGTAGAAGAAGACAAATCTCCCAGAAAGACAGAAACACAGAAAAAGTCACAAGATGACAAAATGACCAGATCGGTATGTGTAAGCTGTACTCATTCTTGTCATCTGTTAGCAGTAAGAATCTTACAGGGATAAAACACTGGAAGTTTTGAATAATAAACTATTGCAATCAAAATAAGAATGGGGAATTAAGCAATAAAAAAAATTTAGGAAAAAGAAAATGAAATTAAAAAGAAAATAATGCATATAAAGAAACCGGAATTACCCCTGATAATATAAGATGATTGAAGCAAAGCATTTATTTCATATAAAATTAGTACAAAGATATACGTATATCTTTTTAATGTTCAAAGATGGAAATGTACCAATGCCTCTCTTAAATAACAACAAAAGATGAATTTCTAATTTGGGGAAGGCATCTTTAAGGTTGACTACAGTAATTCATAATCAGTATTCACTGTAAATCACTTCAAAAACACATTTCTCAACAATTCTTTGATTATTACTATCAACAAATGGATATTGTGCCCCAAATTCATTATTAAAAATTTATTGACGTAAATATTTATTCTTAACCCTCCACACCACTGATAAAATCTCCATCCCCTAGGTAATTGGTTAATAATGATTTTATACCTACCTGTACAGGTGAGAAAATGTAGATATAACATGGCAACTTATTGGCTATTTAATAACAGTACAAAGAATCTTCAAATATAGAAATTTGGACATTCAATAGGTTATTGAACCCTGAGCTTGGTGACAGAATTTTTTACGTGACCAAAAGTTTTGGAACATTTTATCTCCTGCAATACTTTGTTTTAAAGGTGAGAGATTCTTAATATAACTTTTTTTTTCATGAAGAAAAAAAGATTTCATTTGTAGTTCAAAATTTTAATTGTTATTGCATTTAGATATATAATGCTTATTCTAAGTGATGTGCATTTTTTGTTTTTTTTTGGGTAAAACTGACTCCAAAAATACAGTTTGTTTTTAATTAGATATTCACCATTGAATAGAAGTCCATTATACCATATATGCTTGACAAATTGTGAAAATGTATTTCCGGCAATCAGAGAAATATTTTCACATTGAAAAAAGTTGAATCTTCATGCATTCAGATGATATTTTAAAAATTGAACTTCTATCCTCATATTTTTGTAGATGTTGTTCACTCTCAACACTGTCAAGTAAAGTAGAATATGCATGAATTAAATGATAAATTTTCACTTTAATTTTTTTAGTTTGTAATTTACGTAATTATACAGAAACTATTATGGTTAAAACTCCTTGACCCAAATTTGACCTTTTAGGTAGTTTTGGCTATTCTTCTTGTGACTTTTTGATTTTTTCATACATTTTTACATTTTGTCTTCCAAAGTTTTGGTCTTGAAAAACAGAATAATTATTTCAGAAATGTGTCACTGAAATCAGTTAATAAGTTTATATTGATAATTAGTTAATGCCTTATGTAAATTTGAAAAAAATATATATTAACAAAAGTCTTCCTTCAACAATGAGCAAAACAGGCCTTCATGAAGGGGATGACAAACTTTAACTTTGTAATATTAGAATTATTTTTTATCACACAAATTGTGTTGGTTATGTCAGTTATATTTTACAGCATTAATTTACGTCAAACTAAAACAAAATTCTATTGTGAAATTTGATGTAATATCCATTGTTTCAGATCTTCACGAAATCTTGACACAACAATGTTTTGTTTTTTATTGTAAAACAAAGTTAGTGTTTTAAAAGACTGAGTTTATCCTATAATTTTTTTTTATTAATTTCTGTTTTTTAGTTACATACAAGAAAACTATTTGCTAGATATGCTTGCTTTGTCTTTTAAATTAAGGGAAACCATTTAATGTGTCAGATATATGCTATGAAATTCTCACGAAAACAAAACCAGTAATCTGCATACAGTGATACATGTATATTTATAAACTGAAGTAGTATTTGGTCTTGATTTGTACTTTGTTAGGATTTTTTTGAATAATTCATTGAAAGTTGTTTACTATTCAAAGAAACAGTATAAACAGTATAACATTCATAATAAAACAAGATTAAAAGTCCCACTGAGTTAACTTTACATATTCTCAAACTTAAATGTTCAGTTTAACATGTCAAGAAGATTTTGTATAAAAAACTGTGACTATTATTTAAAGCTTACAAGTAAAAACTAACAGATAAAAAACACCACTGATACTTATTGAAGAAAATGGGAAATGAGAAGGAAACCTGCTGAAAAAAATTTATGTTCTAAATATTATTGACAATGTTTATGTAAATGTACTTCAGTTTCCACGTAATAGAACATCACATTAACTTCTCACCTTTGACTTTTAAAAATATTTATTACAGGTGTTTATAGGGTCTTTGATCACTTTTGGCTTCTGATAAAGTGGATTTCAAGTAAAATGTGGAGAATTGATATTATTTCAATATAAAATTTACATGAATAGGTTCACAGTAATTTGTTTAAAGGGACATTAGCTACAAAGATGAAAAAAAAATCAAAACATTATTTTTTTTGGTTTCAAATAGTTATAAAAGTGGAATTGTGAAATCATATTTTGCTATCAGCAGTCAGATTTGGTTCAGTTTTGTCAAAATAAGCTCAAAAACATTGATGATGTATTATTGTCTTGCAAGTCCAGAATTCAACTTATTTGAATCTTTATTCATGTGAACTTCAATTTAACCCTTAACTGGGATGGGCTATGCATGTGCTAAGCATGTTTAGTTATTAAAAAGAAAAGAATGTAAAATTGAAAAGTGAAACAAGGCAGCCAGCAGGAAGATTCATTTCTTATACTAATTATGCTCACTAATCAAAGCTCATAAAATATAAAATTAGTCGTTTGAATTAAAAAAGATCAATTTAAACACTGAAGACATTAATTAGGAGACTATAAGCCACAACTTGGCTAAAGCTTTTATAAAGAAGTTTATCTTTCCTTGAAAGAAAATTACAAATTGCCACGTGTGTTTTACTTGTTAGGTTGGTATACTTGTAGTATAGTAAATACACTTGTCGACATCTCTAACCTTTTGAGATGTACTTGATACTATTTTATACACATCACTCAAGTCAAGGAGGACTTACTTATGTAATTTATATTTGATCAAATTCTAATATTTCCATACATGAATAATTTAAAGGTAGCATGATTAAACATGATTATTACTTTCTGTAATGATTTACATGTACAATAAATTCATTAAACCATTTGCCAACTTTTATTCCTGGTCAAATATATACTGTGGATTCTATTATTTTCCTGGGTACCAGTTTTTGTGGATGGAGGAAATAGGCATTTTCGTGGATATATGGTTTTGTGTTTTTGCCAAAGTTTGCATAGAAGCCCATACAACATATGTAATTTGTTAAACATTTGATTTGGTGCTTAACCTGTACCCACAAAATCCACGAAAATTTGTATCCCAGGAATAAAAATGAATCCACAGTTATTTTTAATGTATTGCATAGATTTGAAAATTGATCCATTGATAGGAGTTAATTAAATCAATGTTTAGAAGAAGTTATGAATGTTGATAATAAAAATATATAAATAAGATTAGGAAAAAATAATAAACAGTGCAAAAAAAAATTAAAATAAATCATGTATCAATTAAATAAAAATTAAGAAAGGAATTTTTTTTTTATCACAATGAGAAATATCTCTGCTCGTGCAAGTACTTACGAATAATACATATGTTCCTGTTTGTTCTTATATTGCCTCTCTATATGCAAGGATGAAAATTCTTTTTATTTTTATTCTTATAGACATGTAAAAAAATTACAAAGAAATAGATTTGTAATTTTTTCTGAAAATTCTGGCTATTGAAGGCTTATAACAATTATACTTATATTTTTTTTGATATTGCAGACTAGTGCTAAAAGGTCAACAATACCAACCATGAATAGAACCCAACCTACAAAATCTGAAGGAAGTCCCAGAAAAACTGCAGGTAATATTTGTATAGATTAGATGTAGATTTGGAGTACATGTCAATAAGACAACTCAATGACAAAAATACTGAAAAATGTAACAAGGTCTAGCTACAAAACATCAATAAACAGGAATCTATACACTATAGCCACAACACCTCAATACACAGGAATCTATACAATATAGCAACAACACATCAATACACAGGAATCTATACACTATAGCAACAAAGCATCAATAAACAGCAATTTATACAATATAGCAACACCACATCAATAGACAGGAATCTATACACTATAGCAACAACACATCAATAAACAGGAATCTATACAATATAGCCACAACACATCAATAAACAGCAATCTATACACTATAGCAACAAAGCATCAATAAACAGCAATTTATACAATATAGCAATAAAACATCAGTTGAAACAGTTAAGATAGCAATGATTGTCCATATTATTAGGGCCCCGCCGAATGGCGGACACCCTATAGTGATCAGTCTGTCCGTCTGTCTGTCCGTCCGTCCGTAACAAATTGTGTCCGCTCTATATCTAGAGAACCGTTATGATTTCAAAGTTTATACTTGACATGTTTATTAACCAACACCAGAGGGTGTGTCATAATGTATGTACAACTTCCTAGGTCAAAGGTCAAGGTCAAAAACTTTGGTTTTAGTTGACAACCCCATGTCCTATGGTAAAGATCGTGTCCGCTCTATATCTTGAGAACCGTTATGATTTCAAAGTTTATACTTGACATGTATATAAACCAACACCAGAGGGTGTGTCATAATTTATGTACAACTTCCTAGGTCAAAGGTCAAGGTCAAAAACTTTGGTTTCAGTTGACAATCCCATGTCCAATGATAAAGATACAAATTTTTTACCACACATTATTCACAGCAGGGCCCACAGAGATGGCTTCCATCTCAATGATATTTAGTTGTTACCTTTTTTTTTAAGTCATGATAAATGTTGTTATATTTGATATTTTTATTTATTGCCACGCCTCAATTGTTAGTAGTTGTTTAATATTTGATTAGATTGAAATATACATAAATATAAAGAATACTTGACAGAAATAAATAATACAGAATGGTTATACATGTATATTTTACAGGAAAACCAACACCGACAAAAACGACTCAGTCAAAGATTGGTTCACTTAACAACACCAAGTATTCACCTGGTGGAGGACAGGTAACACTTACAGTTCTAATGTGTACAAATAGGCATAACCTTAATTGATAAGTTCTTAATCTAGTGTAATATATAGAAGTTAGTTTAAGAAACAAGGTAAATGTTTGGTATATTTATATCCCACTCTATTCAGAGGAGAGATGCATTGTTTCTGTTTATGTTTATCACACCATAACTCTTACAGTTTGAGATTTAAATGATTTGACAATTGCTTTCAATCATGACTAGTGCACATTAAATTTTTATGAGTTTACTTTTGATATAGTTACAGCTCTTTGTTACTTAGGAAATAGTATCTGACAGGCTATACGTCTTTTTTAATACGGTTTATATAGGATTTAAACATAATTTTCCCTTGAAACAAGGAATTATTTGAATCTGGAATAATTTTGAATTCTGGAAAATTGAATAGAAATGTATCATGAAAACTAACCCAACTAAATAGGGTTAGCCATGTGTGTATGGCTAAGGTTAATTTTTTACTTTCACTATCATTTCAGTATGAACTAACTAACCCACCTTAGCCATGCGCGCATGGCTAACCCTATTTAGTTGGGTTAGTTTTCATCATATATTTCTCATAAATTTTCCAGAATTCAAAATTATTCCAGATTCAAATAATTCCTTGTTTTGAATGCTTTTTAACATACCTTGTTGAGCTTATTAGTTTTATGACTTGCTATCACATTATTGACTTTCCTTTGTAGTTTAGAAACCTCTCTTCAAAAAGAATAAGATACTTTTCAAAATGTTCTCAAGAGGATGAATTAATGGAAATACTGGTATGATAGATTATGATTTATATCTACGAAAACTTGTATTAATGTCCTTTTTTTATTTAATATGTTTGTTATATTTTTTTCTTTATAGGTTAAGATACAGAGTCAAAAGCAAGATTTCTCAAAAGTAAGCAGTAAAATAGGATCAAAGGATTATCTTACTCATAAACCTGCAGGTGGAGAAAAAAAGGTAATTTTATTTTGTTTACTTTTGTCTTTTATGAAAAAATTACAACCATTCCATTCATACACAAGGTTTTGAAGGATTTGAATATTGAATAGATAGACCACATCAATATAAGTGATGAATTATTAGACATTTATCATAACTTGAGGCATTCTGAAGGATTCTGAGACTGAGTTGAATTATCTTTCTATTACATTACTATATATATTTCATTAGGTTGTTACATTTTATTAAAGTAAAAATAAGGAGATGTGGTGTGATTGCAAATAAGACAACTATTCAGCAGAGACCAAAGGATATGGATGTATGCAATTATAGGTCACTGTGCAGCCTTCAACAATGAGCAAAACTCCTACAGTATAAGTATAGTCGGCTTTAAAAGGCCATTATTGATAATGTTAAGTTATGTGGTGCCTTAAGTAAAACCTTGATCTTAAAGACTTTCCACATAAAACTCAGTCATAATAAGTAAAGCAGGCAAGATATTTCTTTGGGTGCATTCTTCTTGTAAGCAGTTGGTGAACAATAAAAAGGACAAGGACATATGCCAAAAAGAAACTTTTAATATCAGGCATCTGTATACAATATATCAAAGTCTTCACTCTTTTGATATATAAGGCTTTATACAAATAGATAACGCTGTCGTCACTGCCATCACATGATAAGGAACCTTATGTCTCACATTCTGTGGCAGACATTGCAGACCAGACAAAAACTCCAACAAGTTAATACATGTCAAGAACAAGCATGACATAGATTATAGATAGCAAAGCATGGTTTTGTCAATTTACATAGTTGGGCTGTCAAAAAATAATTTTTGCATATTTTATGGATATACCGGTACTCTTCAGTGGGTCCCTATATCAAGGATGCTGAGTCACAATCATTTTCATTTATATCTGCATATTGCATTTTTATGACAATCGAAAAACTATTTGAAGTAAAATTTTAGAATTTTACCCAAAAATATTAAATTTTGATAATTGCCCCTTTACGATCATAATTACACCTACAGTAATCTTTAGTTTGGAATCAAATGCTACATTTTAACAGCTATTCAACAACAGGATTAGAAGTGCACATCACTGTTTCATGAAACCTACAAACAATTTTTGGCTAGGAAGGTAATATTTTACTTAAAATCCCTAATTTTGGGAATTATTTTTGGTGAACACAAAATCTCACTCAGTATTTCATTGAATGAACACCAACTTTTGAATCCAAGAAAATAGGAATTTCAATTATAAATGTGAAATGTCTAAAAGTCCTATAATTTTTTCTTTCATCTCTTAATTTATTTCAAAGCAGGAAGCTTGCTGATCAAGCACTAATCTGGATTCCATATAGCTTTTCCCAAAAGATAAGACATCCATGGTAACATTTTCAGATTCCCATTCGATTTACTCTTTGATTCTAATATAAAATGTCAATATACTAAAAAAACTGATTATGGTCAATCTGTATTCCAAACATAACTAAACTGATGTAACTTTTTACATGTATAAAGATGATTCCAGTCTTCTTCTCAAACATGAAAGTTTCCAAATGTTTTGTAAACAATTTGACAGTATTTATCCACTAATTTTTTTTTAGACTAAAATGTTTGTGCCGCTCATTTATTTACATTTATGTTTAGTGCTGCTTGATTTTAAAATCCTGTTTTTCTTGTGCATGTTTATTTTGACATTTCAGATTCTTTCCCAGAAGTTAGAATGGAAAGCAGAATCAAAAGTTGGTTCACTAAAAAATGCCACTTACTCACCACGTGGCGGTAACGTCAAAGTAAGTCAAAATATACAGAAATGTGTAAGTTTTTGTCATATTTTTCTCCTTTCCTAAATGTCTTAAAAGTTTCACTTACCAAGAAACCCATCTTAATGGCACCTGAGTAATCCTGTCATATTGCATTACGTGTGTAATATGTAGGTGTACCTTATATTTCCATTGTTTACAAGGTTTGATATTGTATCTTTCTTGTATCCAGGGGAGATCATGATAAAATAAAAATGAGAGAAAATTAAATGCATGCATGGCTTCAGTTGCTGGAAACTAAAAACCTTTTGCATGAAAAGTAGGTCAAGGACTTGATATGAGAAAGAAAAAATATTTCTTGTTATTCAAAAAATTTTGGATAATAAATTTTCATTTGGAAGATTTTATTGCTCTTAAAAATGACAATTTGGATAAAAGAAAATGTAATTATTTGCTAATATTTGTACTTAGTCATAGAAACACAATGTACAAAACTTAGCATATCTGCTAATTAGGAATGCTACAAAGAATTTGAAATTTAAGGTGAAAAGTGAAATATTTTGTGCTTAATGCCTTCAAATGTTGAGAAACATATATATATATGTATGAGCTGCTTATTTGTTGCTAAATATTTTGTTTATTAATGTAGTTGTTGTTTGTTTTGCTTTATTTTAGATTCAGACTGAGAAATTAGCGTGGAATGTCCAGTCCAAAGTGGGATCTCTGGATAACTCCTCTCATTCACCTGGAGGCGGTCATGTTAAAGTATGACTTCATGTTTCACATGCCGTTGTGCTAAATTTATGTTTCTCCAGTTTAACTTCTTGTATTTCAAAATTTATTTGAATTTTATTTTGAAAACAAAAGAAGGGAATATTTGCTAATTAAGAGTGAATGTCACATAACCAATTGATTTTTATCCAATATTTCCATCTGTAAGATATCTGGCAGAAAGAAATCTTAATGAAAACAATCATAAGGAAGATGCTCAAACAACAATTCTTACAGCAAGTTAAACTGAAGTTTTTGTATTGCATTGTATATGTGTTCTAACTTATTACCTTTATTTTGCATGATATTTGTATAATCAAGGTGAGGAGATACATGTTAACGATTATTCCTGCTTGCTGGCAAACTAATGTTTGAGACTACTTTTCGTTTTCTTATTCTTTGAAAAAGATGAAAGAAAAGGTTTTGTAGTATAATTAATTTTAAGTTATGTACTGTAAATTCAGAAACTATTGCGTGCATTTATTATTACCACTTTTGAAGAATGAACAAAAATGCAAGATTAATTATTGCGATTTCTGGAAAAGCTGCATACAGATACATGTATTAGAATGCAGGCTTTATTTATTATTGCGATACTCATCCAGTCGCATTATTCACATTATAAAAACCTCGCAATAATTTCTGAATTTACAGTAATTTTAGATTATACACCAAGCTTTATTATTGAGAAACCTGGGTCTTTGATTTTAGTCGTTCAGATAATTTTTTCTTATTTGTGATTATTTTTAGTTCCCAGTTCATATACCCTGAACAGGCCATACATGATAAATTATAAGCTTCTGAGGCAAACTTCATACATATTGTTAAGTGTTATTGATAGATGCAGTGATTTGTTTTGCTAAATATTATATCTGTTTGATATTTTAACAAGATCTGACTTATTCTGGTCACACAACTGCTGGAGTTTACAAATTATGATTTGGACCATGAATCAGAGGACTGTAAAATAGATCTTTCTTTGTTTAGTCTTATCGACACTGTTATTTGACTGAAATGCAAATGATTGTTTTTTATAGTACATTGTACCTGTTTAACCCACATTGTATACAGTAACAACTCCTTTGATTTATAAATTTATGAATAGTTGAATATTAATTTGTTTCCAATACAATGTATTGTCTAGTAATTGTTTAATATTATGTTAGATTTAAGACAATCAGAAAAGGAAAATATAATATGCATAAATAGAATGCGTGCTTTTTATTGGCATAATGAAGAGTCGTTAAAAAATAGTTAAATTTTAAACAAAGGTTTTTCATCAGCTTAAAAGATGGTTAGAAATAAACTTGGATATAAAATGCTCTCAGCATTACAGGTTTTTTTGGTGATTTAACAGAATAACAAAGGTTTCATATTTTTAAAACTTTCGTTTATTGATATTTTAGAAAATGCATGGTTCTGTTCTTTTTGCATTTTTTATATCCAGCAAATATAGAATGATTTATTTATTTTTCACTATTGTTTAGTTATGATTTTCTTTCCACAGATCACAAATGAAAAAATAAATTGGAAAGCGGAACCTCGAATTGGTTCTATGGACAATACTGGTTATGTGCCAGGTGGCGGTAATGTTCATGTATGATCATTATCACTTGAGTGTTTTCTTTATTAGCAGTTCAGTGTGCATTTAGAGTGTCAGTAGAAAGATCAAGATTTTTGCACTTTAATTCCAGTTTTTTTTAAACTGTGTTTTGAATTATTTTTTATTTTTTTTATAAAGCACAAAAATTTATATTTTGTATATGTTTCATATTTTCATCATTATTTTAGATTTTGATATTTATGAATACATTTTATTTCACATATTTATACATTAATTTTGTTAAAAATCAGTAAAGATTGACAATGATTAGATAAAACCATCTTTTTTCTTTTTTTATATTATTATTTTATTTTAGGGAAACAACAGAGGTTATTAAGATATACACTGAAATTTTAATTGATTTAAAAAAATGTAGTAAAAGGAAAATAAAAATAAGCAGGCAAACTGTCATTTCAGTTAAAGGCAAAATATGTAAAGGATTTTTCATTATGAAAGGATCAAATGGTTGTTGGGATTTAGTAAATACATGTATATGATAAAAGCAGTTTAAAAATTTGAATTTAGAGGTGCCAGCAATTATTTCCCTCATTTATTTTAATTTTTTATTTTAAAAAAGTTCTTTTTAAAAAAAGTTGAAAGACATTGAAAAGCGTATAATAGACTTAAGACCTGTTGTGAACCTCGAAATATCACATCTAAAGCAAATTTATTTAATAGATTATGAAAAATAGGGATTTTGAATAACATAAGTATATCATTTTCAAGAAAATGTCTGTTTTGTTTTGAAATAGATCCAATCAGAGAAATTAAAATGGAAAGCAGAACCTCAAGTTCATTCCTTGGAAAACACTGGTTATGTACCAGGTGGCGGTAATGTTCAAGTAAGGTCATGATCACCTTGGTGTTTAATGTAACAAAAAACATACCCACACATATAATGAACAGATAAAACACAGATTTTTAGAAAAAAAATAGTAATTTGTTTGAGTTTGAATGTTGTTTCATATTATACATATTCATGCTGTTCACAATGCAGCTTCATTTTGTTATGATATTTAATTATTTCCTGACATATCACAATGTTTGATGTTTTAACTAATACCATTTGTTTGGCTTGCCATAATTATATAATTTAATAAAATGATATCTAAAATATATTTAGTTAAGGATTTAGATTTAAGATTTTTGTTTAATATATTTAATGTTACTATTTTCAAAAATGATATTATAATTTTATAATTTTCTTTAAATAAGGAGTTTAACTTTAATTTTGAGTTGTGTCTGGATTTTGAATTAATTGCCATAGGTAGGGTGTACCTATGGCAATTAATTCAAAATCCAGACACAGTTGCCATTTGTTGCATCTACAAATTGTACAACTGGTGAGAAATATTAATAAATTGCTCTAGGAGAGTCACACCTAAGTCACCAAGGTTAGTAGTGCATGTGAAAAAATAAAGAACCACTAACAATCCTATTAGATTTGAATTCCAATTCATATTTACTTTAATTGTACAGCTGAATTTCTATATTTGAAAAATTAGGTACCCATTTTTGAGTTGCTTTATAACTGTCAAATTTAAGCTTGCATTCTATTCCTTTTAAAATATCCTCTATCTTTGTAAGAAACAGACCTCAACTTAATTAAAATCTGTAATATTCAGTAAAATATATGTTTAATAACAATATGCTGTCATAATGGGAAACAATCCAACATTATCCATCGTCCTTTTTGTTTGAAAGAGAGATTATCTTATCTTACCTCCCTTTGAAACTTCATGAACACATATTTTAGCTAGAAATAGATATACTGGGTATTTAAAATTTTTGATCAAATAAAACTTGTTAATTTGTTATGAAAAATTATATTTTGAAGGTCTTGAATAAGCTAAAAGTTTAAATTTGAAAATTGGATAGAAATTCAAAAATGATAATCTTACCCTTCATATGACATATTCACAATTGATATATTCTATATAGGGTATATATTGTTCAATTGTGTCTAGTGTAGTAGACATTTTACTGTGAAATTAAGCCTACATTAACTTTTAACTTCATTTAAAAGCATTTACAAGGTCATATGACAAGCTAATAGTGAGCACAGTGAAGATTTAACTGCACCATCAAAGGCCCAAATCACTTACAAAACCCTGACGGGAAATTAACCGATTATACTGTATATAGAAATTCAGCTCTACACTTTAAAATAAAGATGAAGTGGAATTCAAATCTAATAGGATTATTAAGTGTGGTTGATTTTTCACTACTTACATTGAAGTCATGGTTGTGTGCGCTCCTAGAGCTTTTTGTTCAAACTTTTGACTAGTTTGTATGCTTTATTTGATGAAATAAATTGCATTTGTGTCAGGATTTTAATGCATTGCAAACGGTGTAGTGAAACACTGAAAGTCAAGTTACAGAAATAAAATCTTCAATATTTGGTGCTTTGAAAAACAATTATTTAGATTATTTAATTTCACTTAGATTCATTTAAGATAAAAAAATTTCCATTAACAATAATTTAATATAAAGAATAAATAATTTTTTTCATTATTATATATATTTATTTTAACAGATACAGCATCATCCTATAAATTGGAATACCCATTCTAAAGTAGACTCATTAGAAAATGCACATTATTCCCCAGGAGGCGGTAATGTCAAAGTAGGAGGTTTATTTTACAGTAATCATATAATATTAAAAAGTACTTTGTTTTAAGTAAGGGTTTACAGAAAAATATTTTATTTGTTTTAAACTTATATAATTATAATAATATAATGATATGTAGTAAACTTTTACTGCAAATACTTTCTGTTGAAAAAAAGAAACAAGTAACACAGAAATTCCCTACAATCACACATACTCAAAAGAGGGAAAAAAGCAAAATTACATAATAAAGTGCAAAATATGAATGAAATAACAAATGTACATGCCCTTTTAAGAGCATATGATACTGTAACAGGGGCTGATAATAAAATATTAAATTGTCTATTAATTATTGAAGAAAAACACATTAAATTATCTTTCTTTTTATTTTTACTTTGAAAGTTGTATATAATTTTTTTTAAATTCTTAACAAACAAATTTTATATAGTTTTACTTCATACATGCAAAATCTGGCTGAAATATTTTTTTTTTAAAAAAGGGGGGGTTAAAAGGGATGTTTCTTCTATGAATATTAAAAAATAAACATTTAAATTGACTTTGTTTTAGGACACAATGAGTATTTCATGTAGATCTTTACTGTATCATATGCCCTCAACACCTTGATTGTAATGATTTAGAAAAAAAAGGTTAATTTTAATTACAAAAAATATCTTTCCCTTTGAAACTTACCTCTGTAGAATATAAATAACACTTTGACACATATTTTTTAAAATAAATATCACAAATGTTACTTTAATAAAATATTTATATTTGAAATTTTATAATTATCTCCCTTTAAATAAGACATTTACTGTATTATGGAATTTGTATTTAAATAGATTCATGAAGAGAAATTAACATGGAATGTACATTCTAAAGTGAACTCGTTAGAAAATGCTCAATACACAGCTAGGGGAGGGACACACAGATTTCCTTTTCCGGTATTTATTGTTTGAGGGTTGAGGAACAGTTGATGTGTCAGCACATATACGGATACATGATAGGAATGCACTTTGTTTTATTTAAAGGAGTAGAAGGTTTTGGAATAATATAATTGGTTTAATATAATGAAATAAAAAGTTTCAGAAAAAATCAAATCTGTTTAATGTAATAAATTATATTTTGAAAAAATTGAATCAGTTTACTTCAATGAACTATAATACGTTTTAGAAGCATTCAATCAGATATGGTACTTGTACACTAAGAAGATGGAAAAAAATAGATTTCTCTTTAATTTTCCTGAAAGAGAGTTACAAATATATATATAAACATGTATTAAAAGATTTATTATAAAAATTCAAATCACCATTATGAGGACTAAAATTTCAATATTTATATAAATTATATAGGGTTAATCCATACCTATGTAAATAAAACAAAAATATGTTGCGAAAAAATAAGATATATTCAAAGAAATTTTGTATTTTTGATAATATTAAATAAATTTTCTATGTTTACAGTCTTAAAAACATATGATAAAAATGAATAAACTACACAAAAAAGTAACCCAGTGAATGCTTAGTTGGTTGTGATTTAATAATGTCTATATTTGATGACTGTCAAAGTATTTTGATTTCCTGTAAGTCCAACATGATTTGTTGAGAAAGAAGACAAATACCTATTTTGCTTGATTGATTTTGTTTGGATTATGTTTGTTTGATTGTTTGTTTCAATAATTTTATTTTGTGTCTTTCTTTTTTTTTTTTAACATGAGATATAGTTTTTTATGCGTCACATAATGTTTAAACCTGGCTTAATTTTATGTATGCAAAAACAAGCTTTGAATGTTGTTTGTCAAATATATGCAAAGGTTGGCACATATTGAAACGTTTAAACCCGCTGCATTTGTTTGCACCCGTCCTAAGTCAGGAACCTGATGTTCAGTGGTTGTCGTTTGTTGATGTGGTTCATAAGTGTTTCTCGTTTCTCGTTTTTTTATAGATTAGACCGTTGGTTTTCCTGTTTGAATGATTTTACACAAGTCATTTTTGGGGCCCTTTACAGCTTGCTGTTCGGTGTGAGCCATGGCTCCGTGTTGAAGGCTGTACTTTGACCTATAATGGTTTACTTTTACAAATTGTGACTTGGATGGAGAGTTGTCTCATTGGCACTCATACCACATCTTCTTATATCTATTAACACACAGCTAACTGATATAACTATGGGCATCTGTTTTACCAAAACAAGAAATATCCATATTTTTTTATCTCTTTGAGTCTAATCGACATTTTTTCTATAAACTTCTTATACAGTTTTGATATTAATTATTTAAACATATTAGTTGTTTAAATACTTCCCAACACTCTTTTGTAATGATTGCTGGGGACAGATATATAATGCATTGCACAGCAGTTTATTTTTTCTTTTTCTGAATGGGGTTAGAAAAGAGGTTAAACTCCATTTTTTGGCTCCTGTAAGCTAGAAAATCCAATCCATGTTCCTTGTTTGTTATGCTTATACACTTAAAGTGACCTTCCCACTGCTTAAGCACCATGACCTTTTTGAAGCCTAAAAGAAATGAATAGTAACTCTTATGCTTAGATAAAGGGTAAGTGTTAGGCTCTATAAGCATATGAAATTATTAACCATATAAATGTGTTGACTAGATGAAAAAAGGCTCTATTTTTTAAAACAAAAGTTAACTTGGGCTTTCATATACCAGAAAAAGTTTGCCTAATATGTATGTTTTTTAGATCAACTGGCCACGTGAGCTTTTCTCATCACTCGCTGTCTGTCATTGTCGTAAGTTAACTTTTACAAAAATCTTCTCCTCTGAACCTACTGGACCAAATTTAACCAAACTTGGCCACAATCATCATATCTAGTTTAAAAATGTGTCCGAAGACCCGCCTGGCAACCAAGATGGCTGACATGGCTAAAAATAGAACATAGTGGTAAAATGCAAGTTTTGTCTATTATTTTGAAAACCGTTATAAATAGAGAGAATCTGACGGCAGCAAAAATGTTAAGAATGTTGACTTCTACCAATTGTTCATATACATCAAAACTGTCAGACGACTGCTTATAGAAGTTATTGCCCTTAAATTCAAATTTACGATTTTTTTCATTTTTGTCTATTATCTTGAAAACTATAATAGATAGAGAGAAACTTTATAAAATGCCAAATTGATCAGCAAGACAAGATCTATATATAAGTCTGCGTGGTTGAAATCTTCAATCAATTCCATACTAGAGATATTGCCCTTTGATAACGATTTTTTCCAATTTTTTGTGTTTTTGCCTTATATCTTAAAAATTATAAAAGATAGATAGAAACTTAATTGAGCAAAGAAGGTCAGCAGCACAAGATCTACAAAAAGACAATATTGGGGAATTCGTCTGATATCTCTTTATTGGAGTTATTGCCTTTTAATGATGATTTTTACAATTTGTTTTGCGTTTTGCCTTATATCATGTATATAATAAAAATTGAAATAGATAAATAGACACATTAAATCAAAAAAATGATCAGCAAGGCAAGATCTACTAACAAGTCAAATTTTGCTGATATAGTTAGTAGACTGTTGCTCTTTGTAGGAGTGATTGCCCTTAAATAAGGATTTTTTTTTTACCCTCTTTTGTTTTTTGAGCATAAACTAAAGAAGATAGAGAGAAACTAAACAGACTAAATGATCAGCAATACAAGATCAACAAAACAGAGATTTTTGTCATGAATTCTATTCTCGTCTACAATGTTGGAGAGTATCCTTTGTTGAATATTCACATAGACCAAGGTGCGCGACACAGGCTCTTTAGAGCCTCTAGTTTTATGTTTTTATATTTATTCACTTAAAAATTAAAATATCAATGTATATTTTTGAATAATTTGGTTCATTTTGATGAACCAGTTTTTATTGTGAAATCTTCTGTTCAACAATGGTTACCTTCTAAATACAGAAAACCCAGTTTGCTGTCAACTTGACAGTGCATTTCTTGTTTAAAATTTAATTCAGTGTTTCCAAACTTACATGCTGTTGATTTTAATTTGATTTATCTCCCTTGAACTGTCTTGGCCAATTAAGGTAATAAATTTATATATTCTGCTAACTATAAATATCCATGCAGGTGATGGGTGTGCTACTGCTAAGGTGTGTGTGTGTGTTTTGTATTCTATAAGATATAATTTAAATGTAAACCTATTTCATAGGTATTACCAAATATTTCATAAATTGATTTAACAGTATATGAGGATTTTCATTTGTGGGAAAACGACTCGCATTCTGTTAAAAATCTTTTGTGACTGTTTATAAATGATTTTGCTCTTTTGTACCATTGGTTTAAAACTGCAACTGATTTAATAACTGTTTAACAAGTCTTTGTTCAATTGCTGTAAAATTTTGTTCTTTAAACGTAATGTCAGTTGCATGTTATTGAGTTTCATTTTGAGATCATGCCTTTATTTATAATCAAGCATGTGATCATCTTCTTATTAGATTTCATAATCGTTTGTTTCCATTAATTTCAGATAAAAGACAAAAACAAGATTCAGGGGTATGCAGTAATATTAAATAGAATTCTCCTACATATAAACATTTGTCTTATTTTAGATTGAAAACAAGAAGTTAGACTTTAAAGATAAGGCACAGTCCAAAGTTGGTTCTAAAGATCATATGAATCACAAAGCTGGTGGCGGAGATAAAAAGGTACATATATAAATAGATATATTAAGTGCCAATCTGCCTAAGAATCTGGCAGTGGTGAAAACATGACAAACAAAAACTCTCAAGTTCAAAATGTATTATAGTGCATGAATATAGCATTCACTTCATTTTCCTGTTCTGGTATTTCAAGATAAAATTTGGTTAAAATGCACTAGAAATAAGCAATTAGGGAGAGATAACTCTGTAATTTCCTGTCATTCTAACCAAAATTATGTAGAGATTTCTCGAATTACCAGATATGTAGAAACAAAAGACCCACATTTTCTAACTCAGAATGAGGGTAACTTCAAAATAGAATTGTTAGGTCTGCGTTTTTTGTTGTTGTCATGTTTTGATATTCTTCTAAATTGCCTGATTCTTACAAAGACTGGCACTTAAACTGAAATAAATCAGATAAAAAAATGTATAGATAGAAAGAATATAGATATTATACTGAAGCACAATGAACAAGTATGTATATACAGTTATATGTATAGATAGAAAGGATATAGATATTATACTGAAGCACAATGAACAAGTATGTATATACAGTTATATGTATAGATAGAAAGAATATAGATATTATACTGAAGCACAATGACCAAGTATGTATATACAGTTATATGTATAGATAGAAAGGACATAGATATTATACTGAAGCACAATGAACAAGTATGTATATACAGTTATATGTATAGATAGAAAGATATAGATATTATACTGAAGCACAATGAACAAGTATGTATATACAGTTATATGTATAGATAGAAAGGATATAGATATTATACTGAAGCACAATGAACAAGTATGTATATACAGTTATATGTATAGATAGAAAGATATAGATATTATACTGAAGCACAATGAACAAGTATGTATATACCGTTATATGTATAGATAGAAAGGATATAGATATTATACTGAAGCACAATGAACAAGTATGTATATACAGTTATGTGTATAGATAGAAAGGACATAGATATTATACTGAAGCACAATGAACAAGTATGTATATACAGTTATATGTATAGATAGAAAGGATATAGATATTATACTGAAGCACAATGAACAAGTATGTATATACAGTTATATGTATAGATAGAAAGGATATAGATATTATACTGAAGCACAATGAACAAGTATGTATATACAGTTATATGTATAGATAGAAAGGATATAGATATTATACTGAAGCACAATGAACAAGTATGTATATACAGTTATATGTATAGATAGAAAGGACATAGGTATTATACTGAAGCACAATGAACAAGTATGTATATACAGTTATATGTATAGATAGAAAGGATATAGATGTTATACTGAAGCACAATGAACAAGTATGTATATACAGTTATATGTATAGATAGAAAGGACATAGATATTATACTGAAGCACAATGAACAAGTATGTATATACAGTTATATGTATAGATAGAAAGATATAGATATTACACTGAAGCACAATGAACAAGTATGTATATACAGTTATATGTATAGATAGAAAGGACATAGATATTATACTGAAGCACAATGAACAAGTATCTATATACAGTTATATGTATAGATAGAAAGATATAGATATTATACTGAAGCACAATGAACAAGTATGTATATACAGTTATATGTATAGATAGAAAGGACATAGATATTATACTGAAGCACAATGAACAAGTATGTATATACAGTTATATGTATAGATAGAAAGGATATAGATATTATACTGAAGCACAATGAACAACTATGTATATACAGTTATATGTATAGATAAAAAGGATATAGATATTATACTGAAGCACAATGAACAAGTATGTATATACAGTTATATGTATAGATAGAAAGGATATAGATATTATACTGAAGCACAATGAACAACTATGTATATACAGTTATATGTATAGATAAAAAGGATATAGATATTATACTGAAGCACAATGAACAAGTATGTATATACAGTTATATGTATAGATAGAAAGGATATAGATATTATACTGAAGCACAATGAACAAGTATGTATATACAGTTATATGTATAGATAGAAAGGATATAGATATTATACTGAAGCACAATGAACAAGTATGTATATACAGTTATATGTATAGATAGAAAGGATATAGATATTATACTGAAGCACAATGAACAAGTATGTATATACAGTTATATGTATAGATAGAAAGGATATAGATATTATACTGAAGCACAATGAACAAGTATGTATATACAGTTATATGTATAGATAGAAAGGACATAGATATTATACTGAAGCACAATGAACAAGTATGTATATACAGTTATATGTATAGATAGAAAGATATAGATATTATACTGAAGCACAATGAACAAGTATGTATATACAATTATATGTATAGATAGAAAGGACATAGATATTATACTGAAGCACAATGAACAAGTATGTATATACAGTTATATGTATAGATAGAAAGGACATAGATATTATACTGAAGCACAATGAACAAGTATGTATATACAGTTATATGTATAGATAGAAAGGACATAGATATTATACTGAAGCACAATGAACAAGTATGTATATACAGTTATATGTATTGATAGAAAGATATAGATATTATACTGAAGCACAATGAACAAGTATGTATATACAATTATATGTATAGATAGAAAGGACATAGATATTAAACTGAAGCACAATGAACAAGTATGTATATACAGTTATATGTATAGATAGAAAGGACATAAATATTATACTGAAGCACAATGAACAAGTATGTATATACAGTTATATGTATAGATAGAAAGATATAGATATTATACTGAAGCACAATGAACAAGTATGTATATACAGTTATATGTATAGATAGAAAGGATATAGATATTATACTGAAGCACAATGAACAAGTATGTATATACAATTATATGTATAGATAGAAAGGATATAGATATTGTACTGAAGCACAATGAACAAGTATGTATATACAGTTATATGTATAGATAGAAAGATATAGATATTATACTGAAGCACAATGAACAAGTATGTATATACAGTTATATGTATAGATAGAAAGGATATAGATATTATACTGAAGCACAATGAACAAGTATGTATATACAGTTATATGTATAGATAGAAAGATATAGATATTATACTGAAGCACAATGAACAAGTATGTATATACAATTATATGTATAGATAGAAAGGACATAGATATTATACTGAAGCACAATGAACAACTATGTATATACAGTTAGGTTTAGTTCTAACCTCTCTTTAAATCTGTCAGGAACTGACTTCAAAGGCATCTCTAACGGAAAGGATTTAATTTTCGTCTGAAAAACCCTATATAGAATTACTTCCATTTTTGTTTTTAAAAGAGGAGGTAGATACCAAATGGGCATTCAATCCTCGTAGAATCTTACAACGCCATGGCAAATACAACAAACATGTCCACACAATATAGAAAACTAAAGACTGAGTAATACAAACCCCACCTAAAACTAGGGGTGATCTCAAGTAATCTTAAGAATATTCATCTTACAGATCTCTGAATGTAGTCTCGAAATTTGCCGGAATATTTCAAAATTGTAGTTTTGAGATTCTTTTTAAAAACAACCCATTATATATCTAGAACCTTAAAGCTTACACATGGAACTCTGATGCAGTGAATTTTAGTAAGAATTTTGAAAATGGCCATTGTATGAATATAATTCCGGGGAAATTTATCTTTCTCTTTAGACTGACTTGAGAAAAAAGAAACCAGTTGCTACTTTGATTCTAATTTGGCCTCTGTTTTAGAGTAGACATTTATTTTTTGAAGAAGGCAAGGTTTTTTTTAAAAGAAGACCACCAAAATAAATCCCAAAAGTCTTGTTTAAGTAGGTTTAATTTAAGAATTGAATGCTTCTTTTTGTAAATTTATTGGGGTGTAAAAGCATTGACCGAAGTACATTTTGTATGAAGCGCGGAAGGGCTTCATTCTAAAAATGTGCGCACAGTCAACGCTTTTACAACCTTATAAAATTACTAAAAGAAGCATTCAATACTTATAATTACATTTTTATGCTAGGACCATGAAATATGATTTCTATCAAGTTTCTCTTTTATATACCTGTGCACTTTATTGTGGAAGCTCGTGTCATCATGAAAGTTACATTTCATTTTGAAATCATAATAACGTATTATAATGAAACATACATGTACTTTTATAAATTGTAACTTGGATACAGAGTTGTCTCATTGGCACTCATACCACATCTTCCTATATCTATGTAATGTAATTATTAGTTGCATGATAAGTAAGTTCACCACTTGTGAATTTTTATAACCAAACAGTTGGACTAGTGAGTTTTGACATTTATGGCATGATTATTCATGTCTCATGGCTAGCATCTGCATTTCATTTGAAATGGTATATTATTTTTGGGAGGATGACTTTTACTTAAAATAATTACTTTTCATTTTACTTAGGTGCTTCTTTTACATTCTTGGGAATCGCTTTCAAATTTGAATGAAAATTTGAATAGTGCTTTAATCATGAATTGTTTGCAAAATCTTACATAAATTTGTGTCATTGTCCATTTACATGACCTTTATTGGCATTTTTTCTGGGCAGATTTCCGCTGTATGTTGTATGTACATTTTATTATTGGACTGATCAACTTTATAAGAGTGTGGGTAATGAATGTTAATAAAAGTAGTAAAATATGCCAGGAACCTCATCAGTTGTTGTTTTTAGTTATTTCTTAAATCCTTCAGGGAATGGTATAATCTTATATTGATGGCAGATCTTTCAAAGTCTCTGTTAAATATGTTCATAATTTTTCTTGACTCCTAATGATATAGAGCTTGAAATATTGAATAGACACTTATGTATAGTTAAAGACCATTTGTTGACCTTTAGATGCCTTTTAGTTTTTGTGTGTCAATCAGTTGCAGTCTCATTGAAATATACATGCTTAATCCTTCATCATTTTAAAAAATGTTTGCTTATAGATAGAATCACAGAAATTGATGTTTAAAGAGAAAGCACAGTCTAAAGTTGGTTCTAAAGACAATATTGACCATAAACCTTTAGGAGGAGATAAAAAGGTAAGATAGGAAACTAAGGCATATGATGTTATATAAGACAATAGATTATGGCTTGTGGAGATAAGTAAGACAGAATACCATTGCACATGAAGTTTGGTAAGACAGGAAACAATAGTGTTTGAAGATAAGAAGGACAGCATACCTTGTTGTGTGAAGGGAGACAAGGAAAAAGACCATGGTGTGTAGGTAAGTAAGACAGAAGACCATGGTTGGTGAAAGTAAGTAAGACAGAAGACCATGGTTGGTGAAGGTAAGTAAGACAGAAGACCATGGTGTGTGCATTAGGAATATAGGTACAACAAATTTAGAATGGACTAAGGAAACTGAATATTTGTGCAATAAAATATACTATGGACAATACATTTGGTCACACATGCTTGTACCATAAAATTGCATAGGTTTGCTTAGGTACATTTTGTGGAATCTGTATCACAAAATTGGCATAGTATAAGTTGTCATATTGGTATCACAAAATTGGCATAGTATAAGTTGTCATATTGGTATCACAAAATTGGCATAGTATAAGTTTTCATATTGGTACCACAAAATTGGCATAGTATAAGTTGTCATATTGGTATCACAAAATTGGCATAGTATAAGTTGTCATATTGGTATCACAAAATTGGCATAGTATAAGTTTTCATATTGGTATCACAAAATTGGCATAGTATAAGTTTTCATATTGGTATCACAAAATTGGCATAGTATAAGTTTTCATATTGGTATCACAAAATTGGCATAGTATAAGTTTTCATATTGGTATCACAAAATTGGCATAGTATAAGTTGTCATATTGGTATCACAAAATTGGCATAGTATAAGTTGTCATATTGGTAAAAATTTCAGACCCTAAAGTACCTTTTTAGCTCACCTGGCCATGTGAGCCATTGTCATCATTTGGCGTCTGCCATTGACTTCCAAAATCATCTCCTCTGAAACAACTAGACCAATTTCAACCAAACTTGACCTGAAAAATGCCTAGGGTATCTAGTATAAAGTTTGTGTTTTTATGCCCCCGCCACAGCAGAGGGGTCATTAAGTGTTACCCTTGTGCGTCTGTCCGTTCGTACATCCCGAAATTGGTTTCCGTTCTCTTACTTTAGTTTGCCTCACCAAATGTTATTAAACTTAAACACAATGCTTATTACCACGAAACACAGATCAACTATGAATTTGGGTGGTTTATTTTTAACGCTCTAGAGTTATGCCCTTTATAAATGGAAAAATTTTTCATACTCAAACTTAAGTTTGCCTCAACCAAATGTTATGAAACTTATACACAATGCTTATTGCCACAAAACTCAAGATCAAGTTCTAATTTGGGTGGCGTCACTTATACCGTTCTTCAGTTACGTCCTTTTATAAATGTTATATGCATGCAGGGGCATCATTTGTGTTGCATGGACACATTCTCCATTTATTTGTTCAACATGAACAAATAAATTCTGTTAGTTGATGATCTCAAAGAATATTGTGTAAAATTAGCACATGAAGTAAAGATATCTCTTAAAATGGATTTGCATTATAACAGCAAAATTTATCAGTAATACAAAATATATTTTTGATAGGTGAGAGATTTAGGCTCAAAGAGGCCTCTAGTTTCAAAAAGTTCAAGGTTCAAATATTGTACACTAAATTGCAAGAATAACCCAGGAGAAATATATTATGTAATTTTGTATTTCTAAAATATAAAGAACAAATGCAATGGCTGAAATTTCTTTTCAAGTGTGTTATAGATAGGGCCTACATATTTATTTGTTCATCTGTCTCATTTAAAGAGTGGTGTGTTTCATCAGTAATTGAATTGTCATCACATTTTGTTGAACCTTATAACATTTGAGAATGTGTGTAAGTGATTTTGATTATTCGTTGCTATATACATTATTAAGTTTTACTGTCTAAATGACTTGACAAAATAGTAAATTCAATATCTGAATTGATACTGCACTTGAATCTTCAATAAAATTCAAATTGGGTATACACAGAAGTTTAAAAGCATTTAATTTCAGCCTTGACAACTATATCAGTACATGTATAAGGTTTTAAATTAGCAAGAATTTATGGGGTTGGTTCAACCCTGCAGGTCACAGTGCTGAGATCTTCTTCTATGTTTCCTTTCACACTTACCTATTCTATAGAATAAACCTGTGAAAATTGATCTGTTATTTTGTGTATTCAAAATTTATTGTGCAGAAAAAAGAATTTATTTAACAATGCTTTCATGAAGTCTGGTTGAACTTAATTGTAGTTAAATGTAAATCAATACTGTTAAAAGAACCAAGAAATGTCACGAAGACCTATGGGGTTATGAGTGAGCATTCTAATCTTGTGAACTGTGACAGAGAATTATTTCACTTAAAAAAATAAAAAAATATAAATTTAAAGAGAAAGTGACACAGAATTTCATTTTTAGATTATTTCAGTTTGTTTACAGATGGCTATCAGATTATTCTCTCCATTTGGTATGGAGAATTGAGCCATGGTTAAGTTTACCTGATGAAAACCTTATTTTTCCTCAATTCTTTAACAACAACAAAATTCAAAACTAAAAAGTATATTCAAAGGGTGCATCCTAATGTTAAAAAATGGGTTGGCCCTAAGTATGTGACTTTTATAGATAATTGTTAGTTGTAGTAAAGAAACAAACGTGGTATCTTAGTGAAGTCAATAGTACCAACGACAAAGTCAATGAAAAGTATGACATCATTCTTTTAGAATAAATTAGAATATTGTTAAAGTAGAGCAAAAAATCTGAGTGAACATATATTGAAACTGATTTTAATATTTATACATTGATAACATTATTGACAGATTGTTTTCCTCTGTGATATAGATTTACAAACAATGATCAATGGAGTGTATGCTGTTAGAGATCAGTTTATAGCTGGTGTTTGTTGACATAGATCTGTTGTTAGGATTTCTATCAAACTTGGCAGGAGAAATCTGTCATTAAATAGAAAATAATTGCATGTAATGCTAATAGACATATTATTAATTTATATTGAACATAATGACATTGAGGATGATATGGTGTGTTTTATGTTTTTGTCAAATATCAGTATTTTGGTTCTTTTGTAATACATTTAAATTTGAGAGCAAGGTATGGGGTGGTTAAATATGCACATGTCAAGAGCCTCTGGCCTTTGTTAGTCTTGTATGTTTTTTTAATTTTAGTTCATTTATATGTTTTGGAGTTTAGTGTGACGTCCATTTTCACTGAACTAGTACACATTTTTGTTTAGTGGCCAGCTGAAGCCCGCCTCCAGGTGCAGGATTTTCTTGCTGTGTTGAAGACTTGATGTATTTTACTATTTTGCAATTTTAGGGACTAATTAATGGCTATTATCATACCTCCTTCTTGGATGTCCTTAGGAAGATTATTGTTGGAAATAGAAGGTGTTTAATGGATACAATAATTTGAACATTATGTTAGAACTTTACTTTATTATTCATTTTTAAGTTTGGAATATGGATATGAAAATGTTGTGAATAATATTTCACACATACCTATAATGTTTGCTGCTGAGAAATAAATGGTTTTGGATGAACAGCTTGAAATATCTGCATGAAAACTACTTGAAATTAAAATAGTCCTGTGTATTACATAGCTTCGTGATAAAAATTTCCATAAATTTGAAAATCTTATCAAAAATTAATTTAACTGTCAAAATTAAGTTGAGTGTTACAATATGTTTGGCTAAATTTGAATATTTCTCATGGACAGGGCTTTGAATATAGTAAATGAGCAATAAGTTTATTATATTCTGACGATAGTTTTAAATAAAATCACATTCATTGCAAAATATTTAAAATTTCCTAACTTTAAATGTTTATCCCAAAATGTCAGCATAGGTGTATCAGAAACAATTTAAACACCTATGACAGCTTCTCAATTAATAGATATATATAATTTTGTTACATCTTGTGATACGTTTATTTGGCAATCGCCATGGCAGTCAGCAGGGTTTAAGAACATCAGTTGTTCGACCTGTTAGTCAAATGCATTTTGTTAAAATATACTTTTTCACTTTTTTGGTCTTTTGGAAAATGTTGTTTGTGCTGTATTTAAACCCCTCTACCAAATAATTTGTTTTGCATGCACTTGTATAAAAATTGCGGTTTTTATCCAATGCAATCATAGGTTTGAACGTTGTTTTCAATTTAGACTTGTTTATATATATATATATGTATATTGAAGCTGGTTATTATAGGAGGATGAAAGTAGTATATGGTAAATATTGGAAATTAGAAAATAACTGTCACTTAGTTTAAAAAAAAATGACCAAATGTAGGATAAGAACCTGCTTGTTGAATAACATGTGTGTGGTTTCCATGCAACCTATTTGAATGACCATTATCCTGAATGTTTTAATTCATTTTAATGATATAGGAAAGTTTAAAGTACTTGTATAAGTAGTCAGTGATTTGGAATAAAGTGACAATTTTGTCTTTTGAAGGGTGTATACATGTATGATAAGTTTGTATTGACTCGATGTGAATGAACCTGGGTGATGAATTGATGTGAAGGAGATTTATAATCTATAGAAAGAGATGAATTATAACTACAGGATATGTGGTTAATACATAAATTAAATGCATAATTACTTATATTATACATATATATCAGTAAATTTTGTACAGCAGAAATTAATGATGTGTTAACCAATTTTCCTGTTAGTGATCCATTGAATAAGTTTGTTAGGTGTTGAAATCATAAAACTCACATGAAACAGGTAATTTTTACATGAGCTACAAAGGAACAATTTCATTTCAACATCTCAATTTTTATGCCCCCCGCCATATCGGAGGGGGCATTAAGTTTACCTTTGTCCGTCTGTCCGTCTGTCCATCCGTAAGTCCCAAAATTGGTTTCCGTTCTCTAACTTCAGTTTGCCTCTTCCAAATGTTATGAAACTTATACACAATGCTTATTACCACAAAACACAGATCAAATTTGAATTTTGATGGCGTCACTTTTACTGTTCTTGAGTTGTGCCCCT